GAAACTAACCCTTCACTTCTTGTAAATGTATGGATTATCTTTTAACTGCTGTTACTGGTCATGAATATTTAGGAAGATAAATTATAAAAAGAGGTAACAAATATTTGTTAGAAAAATCTTAAAGAATGTTTGTTTATGAGGTAATATTGCTGTTTAAAAATATTCATATTATGATAGTTATGAATATTAAATATATTTGTCTTTTAAAAAACAGTTTTAACAATGCCTAAAATACAAAATATGGTGACAAATATTAAATATAATTTTATATTATAAAAACTACTAATTTATTATTTAATTTTCATATTACATAATAAATTATATTTTAAAATTCAGCATTTTAGATAAATACAAGTTTTAAACACAATAACTTTCAATGTTTTTTTTTACGTTTAATATTCATTGAAATCTATTAGCAAGTTTAAGTATTTAAATCAAAATGATGTTTTGGAATTATCATTAATAATGGTACTGTTTTAGTGTCAAACTTGGGAAGTTTTTACTTGTGTCAAAATGCATTGAAAGGATTTCAGAATTAACATATTTTGCTACAAAAACACAAAATATTTAGAATCTTTTGATTTGTTTAAAAAACAGGCTACATATTTAGCAAGAAATTATCTCATTCAGTTTAGCATTATTCTTATGAATTTATTGATGGAATGCCTATGATGCAATATGCGAACGTAATGTAGGTCATTATTTTGAACAATATTAAATAACACAAAACAAATTTAACATTGTAGAATCTTATCCAATATAATCAATTAAAATCAGTTACTACATTCTTATAAATTATGTTGAATAAAACGAGTTCGCCTTGCAATTGGCCGGCCTTATGTATGAAAACGAAACTACACAAAGATATGCAACTTGAACTTTCTCTGTCATAATTCAACTTAATATCAAAAATATTTTTCATTGTATTCATTACACTGGAGATATTTTATATGCATACTATTAAATGATTGATTTATAGTATCAAAGAGATAATGTTTTTATTTACTTTAGTAAATGCCAATTAAGTAATAAAAAATTCTAATATTTATGTTATGTAAGCTTGTTATTACACAAGCTGCATTATTTTCCTCAAGAATGTTTAGTGCTTTCATAAATTTTGATATTCATCTTCCCAGAGTTTTCAAAAAATGACTTTTCAAAAATGTATTTTTTGAGTTCATAAATTATAACATTCTATTCATGCATAATATTTTCAGTTTTTGATTACATGATCAGCATTTACATTTAAGTAGTAAAAGGACTCTTTTTCTTCTGAACATTCTTTATGAAAATGATGCACTGCATTCTTAAAGAAAATAATAAAATACAGTTGAACCTTGAACCAAATGCATTAAAACCATGTGGTTCCAATTACACGCAATTTTTTTTCAATAAATATATTAGAAACTTTTGAAACTTTAAACTAAAATAATATATATATAATCTGGGTATGTCATGAATGTGTAAAATAAAAACTACAAATTCAAAAAATTAAATAGTGACTGGTTAATAATTATTTAGAATTAAACGTTTCAGATTATTCATTTTTATTTTATATGTAATCTGTTTGCCAACTTAAAAAAAAATGTTTATTAACAATAAAAACCTAAGTTAAACTTTGTTTTGTTTATATATTACTTTTTAAATTTCCACAACTCAAACTTACATGACCCCCCTTCCAAAAAAAAGGTACTACTAGTATCTGCAAAAAAAAATCCTAAGCCTATAGATAACATTTTTTCACATTTTTGCATTTTTTAAATGTTGGAAAAGTTGGAAGTATTTTTTTTTTTTTCTTTCAGATAGTGGCACTCTTCCCAAAAAGGGCTGCCATCCCTGATCTATATACAGTCAAAAGTCGTTAATTCGGACACCCATAATCCGGACCTCAAAGCTACAAACTTTCTGCGCATGCATTCTGCAATACAGAAAGTTTGTAGCTAAAGACTTTTACGGCTGCGAATATGCGTGTGAGCATGCGCGTAATACGTTTACGCTTACGCATTTAATGTATAACGGATGGTATAAGCTAAGCTAAAATTATCTAATTCAGTTAATGTTGCAGATTGCGTTGTTCATTAATCTTTGAATTGGATCCGGCTTATTATTTTTTGCAGACTGTTAGAGCAATTTTATAAAAGTAAGCTTGAACTTTCAATTATGTCAAATAGAATTTCCGATATATGTTTACTAATATGTAAAGGATCTACAAAGCGAAAGTATGTTTAGAAGTCCATTAAGCAAACAGTGGAATTGCTACAAAAAATGGATAAAGGCATATCCTGTGTTTATTTAACCATTCCGAAATATGTTTATCAATTTCACGCTGCTCTGCGGCAGGGGGAAACCTCGGCGCACGATGAATTGGAAGAGTTGATCTGTCAGCACTATCCTTATCTTCAGGGCAGATGTTTTTAATTTATTTGGCCTATAATTCCTTACTAAATGCAATTCTCGATACAGCAATTATAGGACTTGAACAGCGGAACTTTGTAACTGAACAAGAAGTTATGTCTGTTTATAGAATTAAAGAGAAAGTATTATCACATAAAAAACTTACATTGAAAGAAATGTTTAATAAAGTAAACAAATAAATATTAAGCTTTTTTTTTATAAATTTTGATACCCTTTAGATCATAATTGTTCTTTATTTCATAAATTATGGTTTCATATTTTTAATTTTATAATTTCTGCATGCCATCTTACCAGATTTAAACCGATGAGCTATAATCCGGAATCGCCGAAGTCCCGACGAGTCCGGATTAACGACTTTTGACTCTAACACAATGCATCAATCCATTACTCTCAAATAATTTGAAGAATAATCCCCAAACATAAGAATGCTTACATGTCTCCAAGGTCACTTATTCAATCCTATTGAAAGGTGTATATGTGTACTGGACCTTACTTACTACTACAGCCATCCAATCTTTATGCATTGTAGAAAACTGTGCAAGAGATATGTATCAGTATGGCTTGCCAAGGCTTATGTCATGTTGGAAATGAAGTCCTTGTCATGCAACATCATCAGAATCAAGCAAACGAAAAGGGATGCTACATGTTATGAGGCAGATATTTCTAATGAAATATCTCTTCAATGTATGCATACAGATGTACATACAGAATATTCAGAAATGGTAGCTACAGGATTTATTTTCTTCAAGTACTAATCATAGATATATACTTCTGATTTTAAAAAAAAATTCTTCAAATAAGATACAGAATTTCACACTTTCTCATTATTATGGGTTTCACTTTCTAAATACCATCAAGATTATCAATAAATTATAAATGCTAACCATCATCAAATGGTCAGCAGTCCTAACCTATCATTTACCCTTTCTCAAGACAAGAAAGCTCCAAAAAAGCCATATGTCATCATATTTCTTTTTCACATAAATGTTTACAATTCATGATCACTGATAATTCATTCATCATAAGAAGAACTCTGAATATTCCATGTATTAACAGATTCCTTCCCCCCCTAAAAAATTTTGACTTATTGAGAAGTGAGGAAGATGTTATAGCTTTCTTCCAAGAAAGATGCAGTTTACCTTGCATTTAAATATGCAAAAACAGACATTTAACATAACTACATATCAATAAAAGCATTTCGAAGTGCAACATGAAAAGTCTCAAGTGAAGGAAAAGCATATATTTTGACAAGTGGTTCACTATTTTCAGAATACTGTAACAGTGCAGTAACTGTAATACTCTAACTCGTTATATTTACTGTTGGGCATAGGAACTGACATCACGGTAGTAGAAGCAACTCAGCCTTTACAAAACTACAACTAATAACTGAACACTTTACAAGAGAAGTGTATTCTGTTCATTTAATCTGACAACTAAATAAGAAAGTATGTAGCCATACAGAAAATTAGGAACATAAACAAACATCTGTTTGCACTGGAAAGAAACAATGGCAAGTTTCTTAAACAATACTGGATATTTGGTGGGTTATCAATTGCTAAATTTTTTGCTCAGATCCCAAATAGAGAGGCAACCAAACTTATAACAAAAATTGCCAATGATGTACAAGAGAGATTGATGGTTTATTCAGACTGTTGGTAATCATATAAAACAGAGAAACTGGAAAAAGCAGGTTAGAGATATTTTACTGTGAAATATAAATTTCATTTTTTTGATCCAGGAACAGCTGCTCATGCACAAAATGTAGAGATTCTGGCACTTCACTAAGTGACAGAATAAAAATCAAGGAGGCAAAGTTTGCCATCATCAAGAGTTGTATTCACAGAGTTCATATGCAAGAAGAAAGTTCTTAAGACAAGAAAATACTTTAGATGCTATACTGAAAGCAATAGCAGAAACATGGCAAAATCCTACAAAGTGATGTAAACATGAACTTGGTTATAATTCTGGCTCTGACTTTATGTTTAAAAAATGGGGGCTGTAACTAATAACGAAGTACTGAGAATTTATAGTTCCCAGAGAGCAAGCATTTCAGTTAATAAAATATTCATAAAATGGCTGTAAGAAAAATACAGAAAGTTCTATGTATATAAAATATGCAGTGATGACTGAAAATTAATTTACTCGATTAGATCACTTTTCTTACAACATTTTTATAGAGCAAAATTAACGCTGGGGTTCAGAAAGAAACTGCGAATATTCTAGTTCTTCATCTGGAAAATTAATGGTCTGTGGATTAAACAGCACACATTATTGCATTGGCAGCTGGATCTAAAAGTATTAATTAAGCATATTTGTTCAAATTTTGCATGTATGGAGTTATTAAAGCAGAAAGAATATGGTTCAGTTCTTACTTAAACAAAAGTTAGATTTTGTATTTTCAAAGCTCTTTCTCCTATAAGGTTATAACTATTTTCATAAAATCCTTTACTCTATATTGAATCTATCTGGCAAAACCAATTTTACCTTTCTAAAAGACATATCTTAAATATAGCAGAATTCAGTACTGCAGCATTTCTAGAAGTATGAAGAAGGCTAGGATCAATATTTAAAGAAATAACACCATGTAGGCACTAATCTATTTTATTGTTTAGTACTAACAACGTACACAAAAATCTGTGACAGAAACTTAAGTTTTCATGTTTAGGACTAATAATATGTATAAAATCTACAGTATTTTGGTTTCATATAAGGTAATATTAATGTAAATAGACTAATAAATCATATTGCAAACAGGAGATCAAAGTTTGAGAGACAAATTTTGAGTATTGGAAGGGAGTATCACCATTTTCAACTCTTGTACTGTTCAAGGGTCAACTGTATATATTTAAAAATTATTTTTCTAATTAAACTCATGATTAAATGAATTAATCGCCACATCATGCTTAATGTATGTATCAATAAATAACATAAAATATTACTTGACATGTTAACCACTTTATGCTACTAATCTCAGAAAGTTGATGCATACCATTATTTTCTTAATTCTACAATTCAGTATTTCAGTTATACTTTACTGGTAGAAAATGAAGTTTATAAAAACATTTGTACTTTTGCTAGCACATACTGAAATTTAGAAGTTTGATACTTCATATCATTTCAACTCTAAATTAAACACTAAAACATTAAGTATTCAAAAGAATCTAAAATTTCTGTTTAAGTTAAATAATAATTAAAAATACCTTCATTTAAACTTAAAAAATATGTTAATCAAATCTCTAACAAAAGGAAGTAGAAGTTTAAACAGATGCATTCTAATACAAACATTTTCTGTTAAACTGCACTTCTTTTTTATGAAAATAAAATAAAAGAAGTATCTGTATACAAGAATGTTTTGAAAACTGGCAGATCATACTCAGGTCTTCTTGAAAGCATAAAACATTTCAAGTGGCTTGTTTACTTTCCAAAATTTTTCATTTACTTGGTCAAGAGTAACATTGCCATCAAGAAGTGAAAATTGTCCAGGAGTGACTGCAATGTAAATTGAAAATGGTGAGATTTCAGATGGAGCTTCAGAGCCTAGTTCATCTTGCTTGTCCAATGCAAACCTCATGGCCAAATATTTTGATAAATGGTCCACTAAAAATAAAACATTTATATCATATTTTGAAACAATTAGACATTATGATATAAATTCACAAAATACATTTTAAGATTTATTTCACAATTATGCGAAATAAAAAATTGTAGCATTTGCTGGAGTCAGCAGATTAATAGTCTAACAGTACCCAAACAACAATAACGATGAGGGAATGGAGCAGCTCAATGACCAATCGGCATTCTCACCAGGAAACAGATACAAATGTCAGCAGCATAGGACAACTGCAATACAATTTTTGGTTTCCAATACCATAGATTTCAGTTCAACCTCTTAGATTATTTACTAGCCTCTAGAACAGAGTTTCTTAAATTGTGGGTCACCAAAAATTTTAGCAATTTTGATATTTCTTTAACTTATTATAATTTTACAATTACCAAATATTTTTTATATACTGTAACCGAAAATAGAAAAAGCTAAGACAATACAGACAAAGAAAAAAATACTTTGACACATTTTTTTATAATAGAAGAATTTAGTTTAATTTAAAAATTAAAGTTAATAACTTAAAACTGCAATAGTATATTACAGTATAAGTTAAGAAACTGACAGCTTAACTCATGCGTGTGTCAGATGTGGGCAATACTTATGAGGTCCCACAAAATTTTCATAAATATCAGGGGGTCCCCACAACAAAAAGCTTAAGAAATTCTGCTCTAGAACACTACAGTAGTGCAACACTTGTTAACCTTACTAAGAGATGGCACCCATAAGATAGTAGCTACAAAGCAAGTGAATGTGGTAGTCCCGACTTAGACGAACACAGACGTATACTTCTGCACACCTGGTGAAAATAAAGAACACCACAAAACACACAAAGAGCTCTTTTCCACATTTCACAATGCAACAGAGTCTAATTAGGCATTTCTATACATTATGGGCCTCAACCTACCTATAAAGGATCAATTGTTTCAATGCACATGAACTTGCAACTGTATCCATAACACAAGCTCAATCATGACGAAAATCTCTAGTATATTGTTCCTCTATAAACTACATCTTCGAGTATAGTATAAGTATTGCAAGGTTTGATGACCTATCAGTGGTTGAATCGGAAAAAAGGTCTAAATATCAGCAACACAGGTTGAAGTAAATTTTTTGCCTTTGTGGTATGATGTTATACATTACAGATTTTAATCTGAACCCCACAGTCATTTACCATCTTCGCAAGAACCAAGGCAGAAGTGACATTAACCATCTAAGCATCAAAGCCGTATATATATGGCCTAGAATATTTTTTGTGATGTCTGTAAGAATGTACATATACGTGCATATTAAAATATGTCAAAGAAATTAAGGCAATATATCAAAAGTACACAAATCCAGGTCTGAAATACCAGGAGAGTTTTTACATTAAGATCAAAAAAATAATTTGTTCTCATAGTAGTTTTGGGAAATTTGTGCTTTCTTAGTGAAAACCCTGGCTGCTCAGAGGGTTAATATTACAAAATCCTGACACGGATGGTGCCACGAAACACAGGTAGCAATGTTAGCTAACAATATTTCTCCCATAAAAATACAGAATTTTATTTTAACTTGAATTAAACATGCTATACATGTATTAACATTGTAGTTAAATTACTAAAAGCAATCTGAATCAAAATTTTTTCAATTTTTTAATATTTATGCAAAGACCATAAACTATTAAAACATCATCATCCAAATTTATATTGATGTTCATATTAAAATAAAAATGTTAAATGCATTGCAAGGAATATAATCCCATTTTTAATACAACGGTCCATTATCTTATGAGGTGAAACTGCAATACATATCTATGCAAAACTATCCTGTACTATTCAAAAATCATATATAGTACAAAGTCTATAGTCTGGAACGATCTATAATCCGGACCTCAAAGCTATTTTATGCGCGTAATGCGTTTACGCATGTGCGTTTAATGTATAACGGATGGTATAAGCTAGACTAAAATTATCTAAGGCATTTCAGTTAAGGTTGCAGATTGCGCTGTTCCTTAATCTTCTAATTGTATCCGGCTTATTATTTTTTGCAGACTGTTAGAACAATTTTATAAAAATTAAGCTTGAACTTTCAATTATGTCAAAAAGAGTTTCCAATTCTAGAGCTGCCAAAGGATCTACAAAGTGAAAGCATGTTTCGATGTCCATTAAACAAAAAGTGGAATTGCTGCAAAAAATGGATAAAGGCCTATCTGTCTCAAAATTATGCGAGTATGGCATTGGAAATTCCACTGTATATGACACAAGAAAAAAGAAAAAGGAACTGTTTGAATTTTTTGTTGAAGCATCTTAAACTTGAAAGAAATTTTAATGAAGTAAACAAATAAATATTAAGCTTTTTTTTTGTAAATTTTGATACCCTTTAGATCATAATTGCTCTTTATTTCATAAATTACAATTTCATATTTTTAATTGTATAATTTCTGCATGCCATCTTACCAGATTTAAATTGACGATCTATAATTTGGAATCGCCGAAGTTCCGACAAGTCCAGATTTTGGACTTTGTACTGTATATGGTACAATATTCTTAATATTCTACTGATTACCTCAACACCGAATACAGTAGAAGTCCAGAAATCCGCAATGCTTGGGACCAGAGACTGTGCGGATTTCAGGACAGAAAAGATAATATTCAGACTAAAAGTGCAAAATAAATAAGGCATATTAGATACATTTAATTAAATTATTTTATACATTAATACAATAATTAATTATATGCATTAAATTATTATTAAATATATAAACAGATTATATTGTTCATTTACATTAGGCTCCTCTATTTGTAAATCAGCATGAATCTGCTCAAGAGTAGTCCTGAAATAGGTACCCAATCACTCCGCCGCTGCCGGAACCACTTGTACAAGACAGCATCGAGGTTTGCCGATTTCGCCTATGTAATGATTTCGGATTCCGGTATTAGAATCACTGTTGCTGTAAAATTTCAACAGCTTTTCTTTTTTGTTCCATATATCATACACAGTCCTTGGGGCAATTCTATACGATTCTGCTATAAATCAAGCAGTAGCACCCACTTCCATCTTTAGCAGAATTTCTACTTTTTTCATTACCGTCAATGCAACGTGTTTACATTTTTCAACGTTGCGAGCAGTAAAATCACGAGTGCATTTGTTATCTGTCATTGTATTAAAATGTGCTGAAATTAAAAATATTCTTAATTTATCCACAAAATATCAGGATAAAAAAAAAAAAAAAAAGGGACATCATTAAACAAGCTCAGAAAGTACAACAATGTGAAGCGTGAACTTGAAAGAAGAGTTGAGTTAATCGTCTGCTTTTTTTTACCTCAATGCAGATTGGAGGGAAAAAAACTCTTATCATGATCTAAATAATTTGGTATTTCCGTTAAGACTCATTATTATTCGGTAATTGTGACGCCACTATCCAGTAAGTTATTTTTTCTTCGATATTTCGTACTCCACGTTGCGGTTTCCGGAACCTATAAACTAAATGTTTATATTTTGAGAGGCAACGCAAATTTCAGGAGTTCGCGAATTTCTAGTTGGCGGATTTTTGGTATTTGACTGTAGTACCGATGAATCTTTTAATAAACCATCGGTTTTCAAATTTTTTGCTTTCTTCAATGCTGTCTAGTGCAGTGTGGTCCAACCTTTAGTTACCGAGGGCCAGAGACATTAAAGAAAGAAAATGAATTACATATAAATCACTAGTTTAATATATCACTTTATTTTACAGTCTAGAAATCAATTAAATGACCGGCACTGCTTTTTTTGATACAAGTTTATCAATGTCCACTGCAATTTCAGTAAGGCAAAGTCTCAGGCTCGATTCTAGTCAAGCACTTTCAATACAATTTCTCGTTTTTGATTAATTTGTTTGAAAGCAGAAAAAGCACTTTCACACACATCTGTACTGCCAAATAGCAAAATAACATCTGCAAAGAGAGAATCTATGCAGTTTGGGAAAACGTTCTTTAGAAATCAGTTTCCAAAAATGTTCAGTGACATCACACACTTTTTAGTCTGATAGAATGGATCTGCCTGAAGATCACAAATTTCTATTTTATGGTCACAATGCACCCCACTTACTTCAATCTCCATGGGGTTGTTTAACAATGAAAATTTTGTTTTTAGGGAGTCAAAATCCTGTAATCTGTCCTTGAACTCTTTCTTGATGTCAGTAATTATTTCATGAAACATACTAAAATTTGTCTTCTTTCAGTTGCTGATAAAATGGGAAGTGTGCCATATTATTTGCCTTTAGTGCAATTTGCATTACCTTAAGTTTTTTGCGAAAGCTTTCAAAATTTCCATAAAGCTGGAATATACACTCATTGCCATAAAAATTTACGCACCAAGAAAGTGTTGTCAGAATGAAACGAAATTTTACATATGCGAGTACTACTTTGATATAAGTAAGTGATCAGAAAATCAAAGAAAAAAGGATCATTTATAGCAGAAAAAAGTACACATGAACAGAAGTATTAGTACTCTGTTGGACCACCTCTAGCACAAACAAACGATGAGATACGAGCGGGCATTGAGGCATAGAATTTCCGTACGATGTCTTGAGACGTTCTACAGTTGCTGTAAACATGCCTCTAGTTCGGCCAATCTTGTAGGCTGTCCAACTTGCCATCCCAAATGATCCCAGATATGCTCTATTGGTGACAAATCTGGGGATTGAGCAGGCTAGGTAAGGGTGTTAATGTGGTGGAGGCAGTCTTGTGAGATCCATGCTGTGTTTGGCCGAGCATTGGCTTGTTGAAAACAGGCTCCTGGGAGACCTGCCACGAGTAAAAACACATGTGGCTGAAGGATGTCACATACCGCTGGCCTGTCATTGCGCCATGGATCAATATTAGGTGTATCGTAAGCAATGGCACCCATACCATCACACCAACTGTGTCACTGTAAAGCGAAGGCAGGATTGAGGCGTTCACCACGGGGCCTCCACACATGAACATGTTTGTCATCACTTCTCAAATTGAATCTAGAATCGTCGCTGAAGACAACCTGG